TCAGCCCAACCACCTCATTCTTGGTAACAGCCACAACCTTTGCCCTAAACCCTAAACCCTAGACCAAGAACATTTTGTGGCATCCCAACCCTCAAATTAGGACTGTAAAGCTACTACACATTCGATAGTCCTAGTTTTAGGGGTTGGGTTAACAAACTCCTCCATGTTTTCTGGAGGATTCCTAATCTTAGATATCCTTCTTCGGGGTTATATTTTGAGCGCATGTCAGTGCACCCTGTTCTTATAGGGATTCTGTGGCGATGTCGTAGAGATTTTGAGGGCTACCGTCTTGGATAGGGCCAGGGTTTTACGGTTAAGGGCGTAGTTTCTGGCATCCCATTTTGGTATCAACTAGTTTTCAAAAAATCAACAATCCTGAGCCCGTAAGTCACGCACCTACTTATGGGAGGGTTTAGATCTTATGGTTTAAGGGTTGAGGGTTTTGGGTTTGAGGGTTTAGGGTCCGATTGGAGTACTTTTTTGGAGCTTTGTCAGGACTATCTTATATTGCAATGCATAGTGGGAGATGCCTTTTTTTGGGGAGCTACCATATATGTAACCATCTACAAACTGCCATGCACACATGACCTAGTCCAAATTCCATATATTCCTTTTAATAAGCTCTGTACTAGGAGCCCTATATAATCCTCTCTATAACCCCTTTTAAAGACTTCAGATTACGGCTCACGTGCATACGTGACCTTGCGGGTAAGCATGCAAGAAAAACTTTCTCGTTAGGCCCCAGGAGCTCCCTTCTTCGGGTGGCTGCTTACCTTGGCTGAAACGGGAGTTTAAGGGTTTAGGGTTTAGGGGTTTAGGAGGGTTTTTAGGGTTTTAGGGTTTTAGGGTTTAGGGTTTAGTGTTTAGGATTTAGGGCTGTAGGATTTAGGGTTTTGGGTCTAGGATGGTTCAGAGCTTAGGGGCACCCGCAAACTGAGGGGGGTTAGGGTTAGGGTGTAGCCCTACAACCTAAACCTTGAACCCTTAACCCTATACCTGCCCCAAATGAACATGGAAGCAGACTCTAACTACTGTCTCTTTTGCGGCTTTGATGCTTAGAATTTGGGGCTTGGAGTTTGAGGTTAAAAGTTTCAAGGGCTAGCGCAACCTCTACCCCCTACCCTGCCCCTCCCCTCACAAGTTGGATGAACAAAGCCAGGTGGTAGATGCAATGGAGCAGCACATTCGCAACCCTCAACTCGGTTGGGTCTGCAAATGAATATACTGATCTCAATGGTCATAAACAATATATAGCCTAGACTTTAAAGGGGATGTAGAGAAAGGGGTTGCCGCGATGATGGAGAATCAAACGGGAGATGACATGGAAACTTGGGTTATGTTGCGGCTTGTGTTGAGTAAAAAGGGAATTTGGTAACTCCCAACCCTGTAAATTAGGATCCCAATATAATCATGTTTCAATTATGGGAGCATCACCTCCTTGTGACGATACACCCCAATTTGGATACACCGTCAATCTTCCCACGACTAAAGGCAGGTCCCGTTTGAAATCCGACAGTTTGTTTGTTAAAGCGCTCCCTTCGAACCTCTGCAGGAACAAAGGCCAATTTGGCCGAGCAAGTCTTGTACTCCACTGGTGAACGTCGGTCGCACTCAGGTGTCACCCTTCTCACATCCGACAGGTTTAGGATTTAGGGTTGATGGGGTTCAGGGCTGAGCGTCTGAGGATTTGGGATGTAGGGTTTGATGAAGGGTTTAAGGGTGTAGTCGGTTATACCATGCTCTGCAACCTACAACACACCAGCAACAAGATCCTACAGACGGCTTTTAGTCCCCCTTAAGTAGATAGAATATGGCTTTGAGCATATTATAATAAGATCCACATTTATTCCATATTCTATTCACTTAAGGGGGACTATAGGGCCAGAGGTTCTTTTACTTAGATGCAGGTTGAGAGCTTAAGGTTTCCTCCAAGCCCCTACTATACGGGGTTGCTGTTAAGGAGCTTAAATCAAGTTACGATAGTATGGGTATACAGGATTTAGGGTTTTATCTACACTAGTATGGGTATATAGTAAATAATAGGGTTCTCTCATTATAGTACCTTATTTTAAGCACCTTAATAGCAACCCAGTACAACCACTGGGCACGTCACCTAAAGCCCTCTCGTCAATTGGGACCTTCATACGCCTACACCTTCAGCAGAATCCTGTAATGCTTTTCAACTCCTACAAGCAACCGTGCAAAACCTGCAATGCCTCTTTGACCATCGATCTGAGTATTTAGGGCTTCCCTCAGCCCTACAATTTTATGAAGCCCTACAAACTAGAGCAAAACAAAAATCCAGAATTTCAGATGGCACTTTAAAGGCAAAAAGTTGGTAATGAATCATAGGTTCTCTTACTTATACTACAGTAAGGGAAAGCATAATTCATCCTGAATCCCAAAGAATCACCTAAACCCTGAACCCTACAAACCCTACAAACCCTGAACCCTAAACCACCTACCTAAACCCGAAGCCCGGACACCCGCACAAGAGGGCGCGCGGACAGCAAACGACTCCGGCCTCCTCGGCCTCATAGGCCAGCTTTCTAGGGGTTTTAGGGTTTTAGGGTTTAGGGTTTAGGGTTTAGGGGTTTAGGGTTTAGGGTTCAGGGTATATGGGGGTTTCCTAAAATTAGGGGTACCATTTTGGGGGTCCCAATAATTAGGACTATAGTATTTTTGGGTCTATATTGGGATCCCCCTATTTTGGGAAACTACCATATAGGGTTTGTAGGGTTTAGGGTTTATAGGGTTTACGATTCAGGGTTTATAGGGCTTAGGATTCTTTAGAGTTTGTAGGGGTTAGGGTTTATGGGGTTTAGGGTTTATAGGGTTTAGGGTTTTCAGGGTTTGTAGGCTTTAGGCTTTAGGCTTTATAGGGTTTAGGGTTTGTAGGGCTTAGGGTTTAGCGTTTGTAGAGTTTAGGGTTTTTCAGGGTTTGTAGGGCTTAGGGTTTATAGGGTTTATAGGCTTTAGGGTTTAGGGTTTGTAGGGTCCAGATTCTATAGGGTTATTAGGTGGGGGTTAGGGTTCATGGGGTTTATAGGGTACGGGATTTAGGGATTCCAGGGTTCAGAGTCTATAGGGTTTATAGGGTTTATGGTTTATGGGGTTTAGGGTTTATAAGGTCTATATGGTTTAGGGTTTATAGGGTTTGTAGGGTTTAGGGTTTATAGGGTCCAGGGTTTATAGGGTTTGTAGAGTTGCTACCTTTCAGGGTTTATGGAGTTTAGGGTTTATCGGGTTTAGTGTTTAGGGTGAGGGCTTGTAGGGTTTAGGGTTCACAAGGTTTGAGGTTTACAGCGTTTGTAGGGTTTTCAGGGTGGGGAGTGTTTAGCGTTTAGGGCTTTTAGGGTTTTAGGTGTGGGGTTTTCAGGGTTAATTTTTCGCGTCGGATTGCACCCTAACCACCAAGTTCCTAAACCTGCAACGCTGCACTAGGAGTCTATGGTATGAAGTTTAAGGTTTAGATCTTGGAGGTTGGCTTGAGGGAATTGGAGCTTGGAGTCAAGGCTTACGGTCCAGTTTCGGGGTTTGGGGTTGATGGTCCGTCTGGCCAAAGCAAGGGGCCGTCTTTATGGGCCATTCTGCTTGAGGCTTGAGGGTCACAATTGTTTAAGCACCTACATCCAAAACTGTCACACGTAACCCACCGCCCCGAAATCCCCAACCAACCATAACCTCAAACTCTAGGCCCGGCTAGGCTTGAACCCTGTTGCCCAAACCCCTTATGTTCTTGAACCGTTAGGTTCGCATCCAAATACCCAACACAGATCCTATTCATAGACTTTTCATGTCAGCGCAAGTATTCTGCAACGACTTTTCAGCCCAACGTAGGTATCAGCTTTAGACTAGGTCATCTTGTAGGGACTTTGATCCCCCCTGTGATGCCCAGCGCTATGGGCGTTTCGAGGCGTGTGTTTGAGGCCCTAGCTTACCCTAAACCCTATACCCCAGTCCTTAAACCCTGCAAACCCTAAACCCTAAACCCCAAACCCTAAACCCTAAACCCTAAACCTTAAACCTTAAACCCTTACCCAGACGTGCCTGTCCACAGCTCGATGGCATATTGACCTGCACGGCAGTCAAATTCGAGGGAGCCCAGAAAGCTCAATATCCTCAATCACTTTTAACACCATTTAGGCTATATTCCTTCATTGAGAGGTATTGGGCTCTCTCACCTAGTTCAACATGATACAAAAACACACCCGAAACCCTAAACCGAAGGCCTGCGACACAGTGAAGATGCCATCGCTGGCCGAGGAAAGACAGAGCGGCCTCCATCTCCGCAAACTGCTCCAGGGCGCTATCTGTCAGCCTCACCGCGTTGCTGTTAAAGACCTTAAGTTAAGTTACCATGCTATGGGAATATGGTAAATACTAGTGTTTTCGTATTCTAGTAACTCATTTTGAGTTCCTTACCAGCAACCCAGGTCATTAGTGGTCTAGGGTTCGGGGTTGGGAGAGTACAGCCACGGGCTTTCAATTTGGTTGACGGCTACAATGAACACACTGCCGTTAAGTAGGACACATTTTGGCTGCTCTTAACGCTGCCCAAACTTGAACTTAAAACTTCTGACTTGGTGCCTAAGAACACCCCCCCCACAAGTAAGTCCTGCCAGCTGTCTTTGCGACACTAGTTGGCTTGCGGAGGCAAAACCTAAACAACAGTTGCTCCACATGAGCTATAGTCTAAACTCCTAGTATCCCCCTTAAGAACCCCTATAGATCCCTGTAGTAGTAGTCCCCTATATAATCCCTTATAGAACGCCCCCCCTTAAGGAGTTTAGACTATAGCTCACATCGGAAGACGGGGGATGAGCCGCAGCTAGTGTTTCTGTATGATCCGCAAACAGCAGGATCTTTCATGACCAAGAACTTTGAGCCACTCCACAAAATTTGCGACAACATTACATAGTTACCCTGAATTGCCCATATTTTCCTCTCATAACCACACCACGGACAGGAAAAAGCCTTTCTGAAAAACACGGGGTGGCCTGGCCCCAGCAATGTCCACAAGCTCCTGACGATGGGCTTCAGCCGCATTATCCACCTCGGACGCATACCTCATCACCTGAGTTGCAAAGCGGCGTAGGGTTGACTGGGTCTTGGTGCTCATGCAAAAAAAAGGTACTGGTACCTCGTTATGGGAAAGGGGTATGCGCTTTGAACGGTTTTCACTTCCTAAAAACGACTACCATTCTTAATAAGAGGACTACATGAACGATTCAGAGCATTCGGAATCACCTTCTGCATTTTCTTAGCGTAGGATAGGAAACTTTCAAAGAAACCCTAGACCTCAGCATCCCCAATCCCTAAATCCTAAACATTTGGTCGTGAGATCACCTGCTCGAACTCCAAAGGCTTTGGTACGGAGCGCTGGAGCGCCAGGAACTGCGGCTCTCCTTCCTCGGCGCTAGAGCTCAATGCCAGTAGCTGCGCCGCCTTAGGGTTTAGGATTGAAGGTTCCCTAAAGCCCTAAACCCTAGGGCAAGGGTTTAGGGTCCGAACCCTAAAGCCTGGAGGATTCTTGGACTTCCTCGAAATATTTTCTTCAGTGGGGTAGCATCAGAGATAAGAGGCTTACATTCCTTACAAAGCTTGAAGCTTGAATACAGCAAGAACAATTTCTCAACACATGACCCAGAAAATTGGGAGGCCCTTATTCTGGACCCTTCGAGGAATTTCGGATGACAAGGTGTTCTGAAGGAAATTCCCACTTAAATGTAGTGCAAGAGCCTGGAAATCTAAATCATGCTGCTAAGTTGTAGTATACGATGCCTGTGAGCAAGAAGAGTTTGGTTTATAGTTTATGGTCCAGTTTTTGTACGTGATCTACAATTTTAATCATAGCTCCTTGTATCTCAAACCAAATGGAACCCACAATCTACTACACTTAACGTGCGTGCCTGCCACAATCAGCATGGCACTGGGGGATACTTTGACTGTTGGGGATATTAGAGAAGGGTCTTAACCTTAACACGGTGCATGCGTTGAGTGTCCCAAACTTGCAAGGGACTACTGTTGGCAATTCTTCGGCTCTCGGAACCCTTGAAACCCAACACCCTGCCCAGCCTCCCTGCAGAGCTTCGCACATCTGGCAAGCAGACTTTCAGGGTTCAGGCTTAGGGTTAGGGATAATTGACAAAATATACCCCATAATACTATAGTAGTTTCCATTTTTCCATTATCCCAATATAGCCCCTATATAACCCTAATATTATCCCAATGGGTACAACCATCTAGATACACCTCCACCAAGTTGGGTCTCCCCAAGCAAACGGGTTCCACTTCGCACCTCACGCACTCCTGCAAACCCCAAACCTTAAACCCTACATGAGCCGTAGTCCAAACTCCGAGTATCCCCTTAGCATCCCCTGCACTAGTCCCCTATAGGGTTTAGGGTATAATGGAAAATAAAATGGAAACTACTATAGTTTAATAGGGTATGATATAGGGTTATATTGGAATAATGGAAAATAAAATGGAAACTACTATAATCCCCTTTAAGGAATTTAGACTATGGTTCATATAAGCCTAAACCAGGAACCCAGCTGCCGTCGTTGCGCGCTGAACACCATCCAGAGCCGTCTCCTGAGCCTCCCGCAGATATTGCGCTCTCTCCTGAGCACTCTCCTGGCAGGCCGCTTTAGGGCTTAGGGGTTTAGGTTTCAAGGTGTGGTTGATTTAGGATTAGGGGGTTCAGTTTTAGGGTTAATCAAAACTTACCTGGAGTCTCAAATACTCTATCATTGTAGTATGCGAGCCAGCTGGGTTTCCAGGTAGCCTTGAAGAAACAAGAGTTTACCTATAGGCAACGAATGCAACGCTACTTCCATGGGTATTTGTCAAAAGTAGGATCCCCGTTTCAGCACCAAGGATAATATATCTACAGGAGCACTACACACGAAAGACTGTCAACTAACCCTTAACTAAGCCGCAAAGACACAAAGCTGTGAACTTCAGATCCTATACCCTGAACCCACTAGCTTGAAAAGCCTAAACCCTAAACCCTAAACTCCAAAGCCCTAGAGCTCCATATTCCCCAATGCAATCCAGTCTCCCCTAATCCGAGGCCACCGTCTTGCCGCCTACGCTTTGCAGCAGACTCCTCCAGAATAAGTCGTTCCACCTGGGGCTTTGGTGTATATAGAATTCTAAGGGGGATCTAAGGTTTATATAGGATTCTAGGAGGAGGATAATATAGGAGTTCTCTTATTCTGTAGGGATGAGGGGCTTGGGAGATACTGGGATTATACGAGATGACAGATCCCTAAACAGATTATTTTGAGAAGTTCCCGCTTCTCCAAATGATGGCTTCCTGTGGGGAGGGCTCTTTAAGACTTTTATATGTGCATATACATGTACATATATATATATATATACATGTCTCTCTCTCTCTCTCTCTCTGTCCTTCAGGCATGCAAAAGGGATCCCTGTTTTGAGACAGACCCACATTGCGGCTTGGCGGTGCGTCGGGCTCTTCCCAAACGGGCTCCAGGGTGCCATCTGCCAACTGGTCAAAGCGCAGCAGCACAGGGCCCACGTCGCCCTCTAGGACCACCTCGGTTGCTCCTAGGGAACTTAAAGCACATTACTGTTATACTTTCTTCTTCAACAATCAGGCCCAAAATAAGTTCAAACTCTTTATCAGGCCCAAATTGATAGAAACCACCAAAAATGAAGTTCTTCCCTTGAGGAAATAAGAATATGGGTATACAGAAAACAATGGTGTTTCCTTCTAAGCAGGGCAGAAAAAACGAAGCACATAAGCAACTTGTACAGCATGGAACAGCGGGACCAGCTGACTACGATACAAACATGCAACCAGTTCACCAGGAAACGTTTCTGAATGATTCACCTACTGCGCTGAATATGGTCACTCCGCAAACGGTTTTTCTTGTGGATTTGGCCCGGGGACCTTGCGCTAGGTCCCGGGCCTACAAACAGCGTATGTGCGGCAAAAATTAAAAACAGAAAACCAGCGACTCCATTAACAACCATAATCCTGCAGGGGCAGCAACAGCAATAGCTCTTATTGTTGCATCTACGACATCGAGCCCGAACCAAAATTGCTCACGGTTATGCACTTTTTGGGGGCCTGACTGACAGCATCTTAGCAAAAGTTCCTGGACAGCACCCCAGCATCGGGGACCGTCAGCGCAGAAGTGCCAGGATTCGCCATGTTCCGTGGTGCTCACGGATTTTAGATGCATTGCTGGGCTGCTAACCGATTCCCGCTAACAATCAACCTGTCCGTAGTGAAAACTACCCTGGGAGTCTTTATGATGTGAAGGGTTTATCTTCCGCACCTGTACGATAGCCTCAGAACCCAACAGCTCCTATCAGACACCTAACCAAATACTCCTGATCTCGAGCCCCCAATTCCTCACTATTTGTCCTGTAATAGGCCCCGTTCGAAGTAGTCTTGGCCTTTTGGGAAGTAGTCCTCCAGGATTTAGGTCTCCCCCTGGAGGGTACATTGAAACAAAAAACGTGCAAGCTTTTGTCTTCACTCCTAGTATCCCCCTTAAGAACCCCTATAATGATCCCCTGTATAGCCCCCTCTAAGGAGTTTAGAGTATGGCTCAAATGCTTGAGTACAGCTATCTGGGGGATGGCAGAAGGCTTCAGAAATTCTAATCGCCCCGCTCGAGCCTCAATTCCAAGCACATCTCACGTACCTCAATCCGCACCGGATTAGATGGTCCGACGTCCCAGAATTCGAAGAAAAAACACACCAATGTATGAGTGAAGATAGTCCTCACGGAATAAGTTAGCTAATCTTGAAATTGGAACGCATAAGGTTCAAAATGTGAGTTTGCAAGTCTCCCTGAGTCAGTGAATTTTTCTCCAGGGTATACGTGACATCGGCGCAGTGCAAAAGCCGCGGCAAATCTCTTCACAAGCCCCATATATGACGCTGAAGTGGTACCTAAGGTCACGCAATCCCCCACCAACGAGGCGTCGATCTTAAGGAGCGCGGAGCAATGATACTAGGACCTCTAAGCCAGGATTGCGGCATGACTTTCCCTCCCTAATTAACCTTGGTCCACATAACGGCTTGAGCGGACAATGCAGCCAATCCTGGTCAACTGCAACATGAGCAATAGCCTAAACTCCTAGCATCCCCCCTCAAAATCCCCTATACTACTCCCTTATACTATATAACCCCCTTCAAGGAGTTTATCACATGGTAAAGAGACACAGCTGAAACTCTCCTAACCCGCCAACCCTATCCACACTTGTTTTGCGCAAGGCTGTCACCAATCCATTTGCGCGTCCTGTGCGAACGAGCAGCGTGAAATGCACGGAGGGCGAAGCGTGGAAGCTTCTCAAGTAAGAACATGGAGACTGATCGCCGGGTGGGGATGGGGGTGCAGTTTCCTTGCCATCCCCATGTGATGTGTATATATATAGATATCTCTATATAAATATAGATATAGATATATATATATAGGGATGCCAGAAGGATTCTCCTGGTTGCTATTTGGGATGATGTGGGCCACAGTCCACACTCCTAGTATCCCCCTTAACATCCCCTTCAGTCGTCCCCGATAATCCCGTGTCTGTTTACACGCTGCCAGCACAAAAGCACCCTAATTACCGGTATACCCCAAACTAAGATGACCTCAAATAGGCACCCGTGCAGCCCACAGATAGAGTAGGGATATCTGGGTTTCCACGTAGGGTTGGGGAGGATACGAGGTGGCAAGCTTAAGAAGTGAAAGCGCTGAAAGTGATGTGCACGACGGTTTTAGTTGCATGGAGAAGTTATGGAGGTACTGATAACGATGCACAAGACTTCCGGCTACATAGCAGTGGCCGACCAACTGCGACTAGAAGACTATGGCTGCTGTTAGGCTGGGGCGTAGCATCAATGTTTCAGATCCTAGGGCTACCCTACGCGACCATAAACCTTAATGTCACCCTTAAGCCCAAGTCGTGAACTCTGATAGTAGACCGAGGCCCACGCCTAGGGTTCAAAGTTTAGGGCTCAGGGTTTAGAGTTGGATTAGGCATACAAAGAAGAGTAGCAGATAAGAGGAGCTTCGCAACCCCAACCCCGACCCTATAATTATGACATGACTTCAATGGGGTCCCGATGTGGGGGGTCTTGCCGAGTTGGGATTACCAGAATCCTCTCATGAATGGAGCGTCTTGAAAAAAGAGCTCCTCTAAACCAAATGAACTATAGTCTGAGCTCCTATCCCCCTTAACAAGCCTTGCAACAGAAACCCTTGTTATCCGTATGCAGCCCCCTTACAGAGTCGAGACTACAATTCATATGCCAACAAGGCAACCTGTTGAAGCCCAACACCTGCAAGGATTAAAGAGCCAAGGCCCTCCTTCTTCCCATTTCAATCCAGCAACTACAATACTGCACCTCCCCACACTTCAAGATCCCTGTACTGCTGATACTAAAAATTCTCCCA